TGTGTGTGTGTGTGTGTGTGTGTGTGTGTGTGTGTGTGTGTGTGTGTGGTTTATGTTTACATTACATCGTCAGGAGCAAATGTTCCCACAATGTGATAAAAACCTGTTATTTTGACACTGTGGGGACGACTTTTTCAGTCACCCCTAGGGGAAATTCAATTTCATAAAAATCTGTGACTACAATCAAACGTGCATGTGCGTGTGAGAGAGAGAGTGAAAGAGAACAATGGAGAAATAGAGAAGTGCAGAGAAATAGAGATGAAAATTAGCATGGTTGTGTTTTGCTTTTTTTTTAATACTTGACCTTTGAAAGTAGGTGTTGTGAATATGCCATCGGGAGCAAGTGTCCCTGCTGAGCCAGCAAATCCTGAAAACCAGGACATCCCCTCAAAACAAATGCCTTTCTTTCTAGCTTAATTTTGTCATAACCTGTTACTGTATTATTATTATTGTTATTATTGTACATGTTAATCTATTTTCAATAACCATGGGAGCAAAGCTGCAGACATGGGTTGGTGTGAATGTGTGTGTGCGAATGTATTTATGCTCTCATGCGTGTTTCCATCGCTAAGAACTCAGTTTCTGTCACATGCTCAGTCTCTGTGCCCCCCCCCCCCACTCACACACACAGAACGGCCTGGAGGTGGCCCAGCCCCCAGACATAGAATGCCCCCCCGAGCCCTCCCAAAGGCTGTACCAAGAGTCGGGTCGCAGTTCCCCATTCTTGCCGGGCACCTCCCCTGTCGCAAACACAAGGGCACCGGTGGGCAAGAGCGCCCTCTGGAGGGAGCCGGACAGGGAGGCAGCCACTCAGAAGGAGATGCAGAACCTGAAAGAACAGCTGGAGGCTCTTCGCTGCCAGGTGGGTAGTGGAGGCCAACTTTATACTCTGCTGATAAAGCAGAACAGGAAGCCCTGCATTAAAGCCCCCCCCCACCCCCGCAGCCGCTCACTGCAGGTTATATGCAAGCTACCCTTTGACACCATTTAATTTGTGTACTTTAACTACCTTGCCGCAGTCTATAGTAAGAGCTCATTTTCCTCTCCAAGGCTCCATTATCAGCCTCATTATATACAAGATGGTGTACAGCACCACCTGATGGCAAATCCCATTAATTACAGCATTTGCTACAATGAATTGTTTTTTCGTAGCATCTTCAATTGTGCCATTGGCCATTTTAGCTTTATCGCTGGTTTATTTGTTCGACTGTAGAACATTTGATTGCAGCCGCACTACAGTTTTTTTTTAAAATTTTTTTTATTAAGTGCATATATTTTCATCTGGATGATAATGTTGATAAATATAGGTAGACAGAAACTGTGTTATTCTTCAAGGGAAAATTAAAATAAAAACAGGGGCAAAACCAGAAAACTACAAGAAGATACACAAACAGCACAGTGTCAGGACGGGCGAAGGAAGATACAGTGCGAAAGCATTATCTGGCAGTCAGTCTTATGATCTTATGATCTTTAGCCATTTTGTGAAGCTTTTCATTCATCAGTTATTACTGTAGTTCTAAATAATTAGATTAAGCAGCTAAACATGCAAGCATGGTCTCTTGTGGAGATCTTTTTTAAAAAACGCATATTAACTCCCAATAACATTTATGTCCCCTCTAAGTATTATAGTCATGAAAACGCCTTGCTGTGCCTACATGCTGTTCGCGTAGGAGTCTGCTACTGTATAGCATCAGTGTCTCAGACCTTGCTGTCTGTGGCATATCCACATATTGATGTGTGTCTCGCTGTCTGCAGACCCAAATCTACGAGGCCGACTACAAGACAGAGCACAAGGACCATAAGCGCATGCTGCTGGAGAACAAGAAGCTGCGCAGGAAGGAAGCGGAGATGCGGCAGCAGATGGCGCTCCTGCACGAGCAGGTCATTGCTCCCCTCCTATCTAGACATACCTCAAAGGAGAGGCTGGAATGTGGTCTTGTATTTTAATGAATGACTGATTTTGTACTTTATTTTATATACAGATTATGGATTTCCTAAAAATACATAGGAATATGTTCACCACTATCCTGTACTGGATAAGAAATTAACTAAATAAATAAAAAAGATAAAATAAAAAATACAAGTATATATACTGGTTAGCCAAAACATGACTGTATGAAGTGAATAATGTCTCATAAAAATGTTGACGATCTCATAAAAATGGTGTGTGTTGAGATCGGGGATATATTAGATGGTAACCTAACATTTGGTAATCGTAATCGACATGTTGAAGCAGCAGGGCTCAATGCACTACATTTCGTGACGCATCTCTCCTGTGGCCATCATCAAAATTATCTGCCATTTGTGCCACAGTAGCCCTTCTGTTCGTTCGTACCAGACGGCATAGCCTTTGTTCACATTTCACGCTGCCCAACACACAGTCTGTAAGGATCCAAATCAGAGGACACTGGTACAGATCTAATCTAAATGCTTCTTTTTTTTGCGAAAGACAAATCCTTAGTCAACAAGCCGAGACAAACCAGAGAGAGACTAAAGGTATCCAAACTGATAGGCGATGCCAAGGTCGTGGGCAGACTAGGATCAGGCAAGAAGCAAACAGCATCCATGATGGCAGGCAGAACAGAAGGTCAAAGATTAGGAAGAGGTCGAGCAATGTACATCTGGTGATCAGAAGGGTGAGGCAGAACACAAAGGCTATGGAACAGAACCGAAATCAGACAGACCAGGCAGACAGGAAGTAATTATCAGGAAACACTCTCTGTAAACGGAGAGGATCTTGCGTCTGTTGGGTGTCAAAGGTAAGGTAAAGTACAGGGGAAAATTAAGTGGACACCGGCAACAACTGGGAAGGACCTTAACAACTAAAGAGATTCCCCAGTGACTCTAGGAGGCGGAGAGACAGGAATCCCTCTGGGTGCGTGGTTGTCGTGAAGGGGAATCCCCTGGTGATGTAGATGGAGCCCCCTCAGGCAGGTCTATGACATTGTCGAGGTTTTCCCCACCTCAGACCCCTCTCAGTAGGTACTCAGCACGGCTGACTGTGAGAATCCTACAAGTCTTGTCGTTTCACCAATGCTCTGACGCAGTCATCTGACCATAGTGATTTGGCCATTATAAAAATCACTCAAATCTATATCCCTGCCCATTTCTCCTGCATTTGACTTGGCAAGTATGAGTTGGCTTACTGTCTAAAATATGTATGTGTTTGTATATATGTTAATGTTCCATGTTACTTCCAGGGGTCGTTCCCCTTCCCATGATCCTTCTGTCTCTCTTGATGCAGCTGAAGGTGTATGAAGATGACTTCCGGAAGGAGCGCTCTGACAAGCAGGTGCTGCAGCGTCTCTTAATGAAGAGATCTGTACCACAAGACCCCATCCTGGTCCACCGCTGCAACAGTGATCACAAGCCACCGGCACCGTTAGACAGGGAGCGGCCTAGAGAGAAGGACAGGAAGGGGCCGGGCCGCTGCGGCAAACACTGCGAGCGCCATGGGCACAATGCCGAATGCCTGCGCAATGCATGCGCCCAGCACCATATAGAGGTGCAAGGATCCCCCTTCTCTGAAGACTACAACTGACCTCAGTGCCTCTCTGTACACATAAATCCAAACAACTGGATGTAAAGAGAATGAATCAAGCTTAATCCTCCATCTCTTCCATCTTCTGAAGGGTAGCTACAGCACTTCCCTGTATCGGGATTTATAACTCTGCTATCTAAAAGTTGCAGGCTATTGCCCAGTTTCAAAATAGGACTATCCATCCATCCATCCATATTCTGAAAGAGTCCCCGTCACAAAACCATATATTTTAATCGTAATCATATGTGCCACACCACAGCATTAATATGAATAGATTGAACACCTACAGTATATAGCTTATTATCTGTCTGTGAGTCATTCCATCACAAAGGGTCACTGACCCAGTTGTTCAGGCCTCTTTCAGTCATGATTCTGGTGCTGTCAGATAGCACGGTGGAAAATTAGGGACTGAGTACTTTTATCATCGAATGGCTGGCAGGATGACTGTAGGCATCTCTCTCGCAGTGTCAAATTCCATTGGAAAATTACCATAGTGAATATAAACCATTCTTATAACATTTGGATAGTGCTGCATTTCTAATATTATTCATATAATAACTCAAGAAAAATACAAACAATGGCCTGTGCTGTGAAGGAGCCTGAATGTGCCTATTCCCCGTGTGGTTTCTGCACTGGCATGAGTAAGATCTATTTTGCTTTTGTCTTCGATCAAATAATGTCTGTCTATTTTAGTATGCAAGTACTGAGTAACTTCTCAGTTTCCTTTATGTTTTTCCATTCAGAGGTAGCTTGTACATTCAAAACATCGATTGATATTTTGTGACTCATCACTTTTTAAAGGTTCTTGTGTATTATAAATCTTTGTATTTATTCTAATTCACTTACCGTTTTATATTCCTATGAATATTGCCTAACCTCAGAATTTCTTCCCAATAAATATTTGTACCAACTCTCAATTGGAGTTGGTGTTAAAATAAATCAAAATTACAAAATTATGTCTGGATTATCCAGCCTTTATTGACAAAGAGCAGACAACAAGGAAACCCTTAATGCAGGAGACCATGTGACACTGTGACTGGAATCACCCCCCCATGTGATGTAACAGAATTCTGTGAAATTTTAGAATCATGTATTTGTGTTTGTATATGTGTGTGTGTTTCTGTGTGTTAAAGAGATACCTGTAATTTTTGTATTTAGGTAATAAATCATTCCATTGCATTTCAGTTGATCTGTTCTGTCCAGCTGAACACTGATTCACAGTCCATTGGAATATCCTGTTAAATCAGCATCAAATTATTTTAAATACCATTGAAAACCTTTTTTTCTTGTTTGAAAGTAGAAGAGGTCAAACAATTCTGTGGTCAATTTATGTTAACAAAATTGACATATTTGCAATGTACTTTTCTCCTTTTGTGTTTAATCTGAGTTTAATTAACACAAATGGCTTTGCCAATGCAATATCATTCTATGCGATAAAACATACACTTTGTTGAATGGCATATAATATAAGCATTTTACCCAAAACTTGTTCTCTTTCAGGATTTCATGTGCTGGGATTTTAATTTTTAAAACATGAGACATCATACTGGCCTTGCTTTTAGAAGTGCTTTAGGACTGGCTTTTCTGGCATGGCTTAACAGAATGACAGGTGCCTGATCTTAAAATATATTCCAGGAGACTGGAATTTGAAACACAGACACAGTCTGGAGTAGCCAGTAAGGTGGTTATCTATTTTGATAAATGACAGTATTGGAAAAACCAACTGTAAATACTATTCAGATTAAATGATTTTCTGACTTGTTACAAGCTAAAGAAATATTTGTTACAAGCTAATGAAAAGAAAGCTAAAGAAAAATTACTTATGGTGATTTTATTAATTTTAATGAAATGTACAGTACTCACTGAAAGTTGCATATTACATTTAATAAATATATTTGTTTACAGATATTTACATAGTCTTGTTTTTTTTCCTCACAGTATCCAGATCTTTTAAATCCTTCATTCGTTATAACAAATGTATCTATTAAGCCAGGAATGGTAACATAGTTCTGTGCAAACTAGCTGTCAGTTGCCTGTCAATTTCATGTCACTAGCAGGGGAATTTTTGAAATGTCATATGGTTGTTTGGCACGGAGTCAGGAGATTGGCAGCAGATCATGTGAGTGTGAATTAGAGCAGTACCATCTGCTGTTTCCTGACAGATACTGTACCACGTGTCTGTCATTGTAATGAACCTAGTAGAGAAGAATACAAATCAACTGAAAACAATAAAAAAAAAAATTTTTTTTTAATCCTCCCAGGCTTTGGCCATTAAGTGGAAAAACAAGACTTAACCATTTCCCTGTTTTGGAAAAGTACAGAGAAATGATTCACTATCTGTTTCATTGTTGTTCATTTTCACTTTTGTATCTTGCATGGGATTGCATTTAACATTCATTTAAGCATACTACACTACATAAGAAGCCTTTTTGCCTTTGCGGGGAGATGTGTAGGAAACACATGAATGCAGCTGTAATGATTTTCTTATGCCGAGAATGATTCCACTAGAGCCAGTGGGCACAAACTGGTCCTGTAGGGGATAAGAAGGGTCATCAAATGAGAGAAAGGCTTATAATATATATACATATACACACACACACACACACACACACACACACACACACACTTTGGCAATGTTGGGACAACTGACAAAAGGCTCCAAAGTGGGTTTTAGGGATTAGTAACATTCCCTCGACCAGAGCTAAAATTTAGTATAAAAATCTAGTAATTGCCTAGCCATTACAATTCTATGTCTGTCACAGTTCAGTGAATCTGAAATACACTGTTGCTGTAAGCATAAAATATGAACATTTCAGATGAGCTAGTGGGAAAAAGGGAAACCTACAAAAATTATTTTACAAGACCCTCAAAAGTAACCTAAGAAGAAATTGTTACACTGTCAAGTTCTGAAGTTAGGAGGGAATGACAATCTGTATGCGGCTGCTAGGGGGAGGGGGGGAGGGGGGGAAGGAGGTTTTATTCTGGCTAGTGCAGGGAGGTAGGCATCACACTGCAACAAACAACATTACTGACTGAGCTAAGGAGGCTTGAGAGGGCAGGCACATATATAGCAGATAACAAGGAGTACACAAGGGGCAGGTGTGGACCAAAACAATTAACTCATCACAAGGGATGGGAAACAGCTGGGTAAATGCAAACGAGAGGACACAAGATGGACAGCAGCGACATCTGCTGGCCAAACAGGAATGGGACAGGGCTTACAGATAGATTATGACGCACATCAATAATAAACTTATAAATCAAGGTTATGGTGTAATGTTTCATGAATCCATTAATCATACCATTAATATAAAAATCAGTTCAAAATACTGAAGTTATCCAATGCAAGGTAGACATTAATTCCACTCCAATAACCTAAACAAAGACAAACAAAATAATAATAATAAATCGGTTAGTCTGTTACTGCATTACTCTTAAATTATTCTCTAATAAAATCTAACAATGTCTCTGCGACTAAATTATTAGATTAAGCCTTCCAGCAGCATAGACTTAGAAGCTTAAAGATGGATGAATTGATACAGTATAATAAATTATATAGTATAGTAAATTCTGATTTGTCAAAATTGGACTGAAACGTAAGGGAATTAATAAGGACATTTTTCACCACTAGGTGGTGGTATTACAAATAGAGAGACGTGCTGCAGGGTTTAAAAACACTACAAAGGTCTGTTATGCTCCCTTTATAATAACTGTTGATGGCACATGAGCTTTACATTGGGAATAGCACCATCCTATCTGAACATAATAGGCTCCCTCCATCCCTTTTGCAGCATTTTCTTAATTCTAAGAATTACAGTTATTTATTGAAATAATATAAAATAAGATGTTGTTAAGCAGCTTCTTAATAACACAGCACTCTGTCCTGCTTAAATTTCAAGTCCAGTATCTGAGTTTGTCAAAGTCTAAAAACACATTTTATTAATTTATACCAGATGATAAAATATCTGTTAAGCATTCAAATAATACATTTGCAAAAGTTTTATTTTGTTAATGTGCATTATTATCTACATGTATTTCCATCTTCTTAATCATAGACTTCAAATATACCAGAAGTAGGTATTCTGTCTACTAGTAGGAAAGCTTATTACTGTAATTACCATTTCACATAATAGATTGATAATAATATTCTATTTACATTTTTCTTATTAAATTTCACTCCTTTTATACAAACATTCCATCCTTTTTCTGGGTGGGGCCGGAAAATTCCATGTGTCAATGATCCAAAGGTGTACTGACTTTGATTAATGAGGTGAGATCAAGATTAATTAGTCTTGATCAGGGGTCACCAACATCGTGCCCACGGGCACCAGGATGCCCCCAAGGACCACATGAGTTCCTTTTTGTCTTTTCATTGATTTTTTATTACGCATTACTAGTATAGTTCGGTTTATGGCTTTTTGCCTAAGGTGTGTTGAAGAGTTAGGGGTGAGAGGGGGGTAAATACGACGTTAAATATGACGGATCCTTTACATACCCGTGATGACAGTTACCCCTTATCTATGGATTTTCTCAAAGTCCTTCATGTGTAAAATACACAAAGGAGATATTGTACAGTTTTTCGTGTGTTTGTGTTTCACCTAAGAGTAAATTTACCCGGGAAGGCACAAGAAAGACATCCCCCTGATTCTTATGTAAACTGTTTAATCATCTTTTTTTGAGTTTCTTCCTCATTGCAAGGTTAATTTCAAAATTCCACTGTGAAACTATTTCCTCATGCCTTTATTGAAAACTAACATACGGTTATGTAATGAAATTAGCTAGTTTTACTTCAAGGCATCAAGCATGTCTCCCACATGTTATGGCAATGATGGTTTTTTGTTTAGTTAAATTTAATAGCAATTTTTTATAGTGAAATGTTAATGTTCTGATTCTGTTAGGAATTATTATGCTGTGCTACAGTATATACAATATATTGCCAAAGATACTGGGACACCCCCCCCCCCAATCATTGAATTCAGGTGTTCCAATCACTTTCATAGCCAGAGATGTATAAAATCAAGCAAATAGGCATGCAGACTGCCTCTGCAAACATTTGCGAAAGAATCGGTCGCTCTCAAAAATTCCCATAAAAACACTCCTTAACCTTGTGGACAGCCTTCCCAGAAGAGCTGAAGCTGTTACAGCTGCTAAGGGTGGGCCAACTCCATATTAAAAGCTATGTATTAAGAATGGGATGTCATTAAAGTTCATGTGTGTGTTCTGATTCAGGCATTGGGTTTCATATTGAGTAGAATAAATTTACGCTGTGAGTTCTTCTTTTTCTTCTGCTTCACCACATAAGATTACAGCCACCCCCGGAATACCCAGATTTTTGTCACGTTACACGACTTCTGTTTTACTGTAATGTTTTTATTGAACATAAAGACATTTCAATGAATTCATTCTATTACAACTTGTATTCTTACATAAACTCCTTAAACATCAGTTCCTAGGAAGGAAGAATTATTATATATACTGAAAAACCACTGATAACCATTAATAAAACTAAAACAATTTAACAACTTATAAAATGTTTCCTCATTAAAACAGAATTTTTCCTTCAATAACTTTTTGCCACCACAAATGTCAATATTTTTCGATTTTTGTGTTGTTAATACATATTAGTCGTGAATTTTGTAAGTCCATTATAAATATCTTGAAAACATGATGCTTATTTGAAAATAAAGGAAAGGTGATGTAAAAATATAAGTAATTTGCTTTTAAAAGGGTTTTATTTAGTATTTAAGATTAATTAAATAGTCTTTCAAATTGTATAAGGGGGGCTGAAATCTATCCCAGGCAGAAAATGCTTTATAAATATTTCTGGTTTAGTCACTTAATACATACTAAGGTAATTTATTTGTATATTTTTCAAGAAGTGAAAATTGCAATACAAGGTAAACAATTGAAAACAAATGCTATTAATAAGAGGACAATAAGATTGTTACTGCACAAGAATTAGTCCAAATGAAAAAACACACCCAACAAGAAGGTGAACGTAATGGAAAGATTAATGTATACAGAAAATTTCCCACAACTTCCTGGTGGGTTGTTTAAAACACAGTACCCAGCCTATGAACAGAAGCATAACCTCTCCGGCTCAGCAGAGGCAACATTGCAACCAGACATCTCAGCATTCTGCATACCAGCTAGCATCTTGACGTACTTTAACACAGGTAAGGCAAAGCTGCTGTGAAACATTTTGGTTTATAATTGTATTAAGGGATGAAATAGTGGGGCATAACTGTACGATATCAAAAACTTTTGACTGGGTTTTCTGTCTTCAATTCTAATGAAGTATGTCAGTTTGAACATAGCAGCATTTGTTCTTGTTAGACTGGTGCTGCTGCACTCTTAACTAGCTGTGAATTCTGCTTCTGTCTATTAGTCAGGTCAAGTCACTTCATCTCACACACGTGAAACAAAATTATGATTCTGTGGAGCATCGACAGCTAGGACAAGAACAGATAAAAATTTCACTGAACAGGCGTGAAAAGGAGACAAAATCAGTCATCAAGGATGGAGGAACAGATGTGCTTCCTTCTCACCAGCTCCCGTCAAACCTCTCTTCTCAACATGTCATTAGATCTTTGGTTGGTGGAAACTGGGAATCAGGCAGCGGGAGGAAGTAGAGCCCGGACCACAGATGACGGCATCAGCGGCCGACATGCAGGCTTTGTACAAGCAGCAGGGCTACCTGACAGCGGTGCCAATGCTGAGTGACAGGGAGCTACAGGCAGCCAGGGCGGCCTTCGCTGAGCTCGAGAGGGAGTTCGGTGAGTATCCTCACTGCAGGGCTTGGGGGTGTTTGGTGCTCATCTGAAACTCTCACCCCATCACAGCTTGCCTATTAGTCATGATTTGCACATTAAAAATTTATTAAAATTGTCAGATGACCTTAAAATGCTTATCTGACACTTTATACGCATTATGTTGATCAACTCTATATCCTTGCAATGGGTGCTTTAATACCCTGATGTAATGACATCTGTCTGTCTGCTTATAGGTCAGGAATATACCCAGTACAGCTTACACAATGTCCACCAGCAATACGACTGGGTGATGGCACTGGTCAAGCACCCCAGAGTCCTGGAGGTCGTGAAAACCATCTTGGGGCCGGACATCTTGCTTCTTGATTCCCGTTTCATATGTAAATACCCCACTGGGCGCAACAGCACCTCCAGTGGACAGGGAGCGAATGACACCACAAGTGATATCAATGGTGGCAGCATCAGTAAAGATATGCCTGGCTTGCCCTATGTAGCCTGGCATCAGGATATGAGGTCAGTTTTGTACAATGGACTTTTAAAGCAAATGAGCAATACTGTCAACAGTGTGAGGTTCTTCCTCAAAACACCAATTTCTTTCAGGTACTGGGGTTTGGATGGAGGCCCAGTTCTGTCTGTGTGGCTGGCACTTGACAATTCCCTTGAAAACAATGGAGCCCTGCAGGTCATCCCAGGTATCCAGTTTTATAAGTATTTCATTCATAATCATCTGATCTAAGGTGATTTTCATTCACAACAACATTTTGGTTCCATTTGTGCCAGTAATAAATGTCAGTAACTCATTAAAAATGTGTTATAACTTGTGCAGAACTGTTTAATAATGATTTTAAAAGTGTCACATCCCATTCTAACCCATTCATGAACCCTTTATAAGAGTAGTCTCATTGTGAAGTGATACCAACGTTTCTTTCTTTTCCAAAATAGGCAGCCACTACTCCGGCCTCCTCCCACACCGAACATCAGCTCACCCTGGAAACATGCTCAGTGTCAACCAAGAGATTCCAGAGGAGCTGGTAGAAACTGACAAGGCCATTATTTGCCCCCTGCAGGCTGGGCAGATGTCTGTAAGTGATGTTTCATTAGACATATAATGTTACAGTGGGGCATGAAGAGGGAACGATCTACGGAAAGGATCGCAACACAAAGGGTTTGTTAAAACGGAACACTAATGAGGGGAACTGGAAAATAACGGGACTACAAGGGGTCAAGCACAAAACAGGAAAAATAAGAACTAACTAAACTAAGCCACAAAGTACACAACTAGGGAAAAGAGCAAGACGGGGAGCAAGACTAGGAAACAACCACAGCAACAAACACATAGTAACAACTACAATAACTAAGGAAATAAACAAAGGCAGGGACTTAAATGCACAGATAACAAGGACTAACAAGGGGCAGGTGTGGGATATAATAAACTAGGGATAAGAAGGAGCAGGTGAGGTCAATTAACAGATACAGAGGGTTAAAAATACCAAGGGAATCTAAAACAAGGAGAACAACATAATACAGACAGAGAGAAGAGAGCAAACACAAGGATCTGAAACCCGAATACATATACTTAATAAACCAAGAGAACACAAAACAACAAATGTTATACATCGAAAAAAGACAACTTGTTGGCCTGGCCTCTGGCAAGTCTCAAACCCACAACAAAACGGAGTCTGGATGATGGCTGACCACTTAACCCATTAAGGGGCTAAAAAGGAGGGAACAGGATGGCCAGTAACACCTGCTGGCCAAATGGGGACAAGACACATGGGACAGGGCCAGATGGGCACCAATCCTAACAGGATAATGGGGTAAATCTACAAATAATTGGTATGTGCTGTTGTTCTGTGATTATTGTGTATTCACACTCAACATCACATTGTGTCAGCAGTTTATTTTCTCCCAAATGATGCATGTTTCAGTCATTCACACCTATTTTGTGCTTTAGTTGCATGACGGATTGCTGGTTCATGGAAGTGACCCCAACACTTCGGCATGCAGGCGCTGCGGTTTCGTGATCCGTTACGTGCCAACATGTGCATATCCCGTCCAGGTCAGTCCTCAACATCTTCATCAAGCTGAAAGTGCTGGAGGCTGTCTTTTTTTTGTACAGCGCCCTAGAACTTAAAATTCTTGTACAATCAGTCTCCCTACACAGCAAAGCAGTGATTTGTTTTGTGGTTTCCCAATAGGACCCGGATCGCCCCAGGCATTTCAACGCAACAGTCTTGGTGAGCGGAGAAGACAAGTTCAAGCATTTTTCCAACACTGTGGCACCTTCTGTTTGACAGCATTAGGCAGCTGTTGGAAAGGTTCCTTTCTTTTGGCTGTGATATCACAGTCGTAGATAGCGATAGATTTTTAACACTATTTCAATGTGACCATACTGTCGCACAGCAAGAAGAGGTACTCCTGCAAAATTGTTGGCACTTTTTTAGCAGTACTCTGCCAGCCTATATTTCTGTTAGTACCTCATAATTTATAATCGCACCAAATTACTTGCATGTTTCTTAACTGCTGTGATAGTTATAATTAGAAGATGATCAGTTGAGCATTATATTTTTATAATCGCATCCATTCTGTGACCTGTGCCCATCCCAGAGTTAGTCTTCTAGTTTTGACTCCTTGTGGTTCTGCTTGTTTCCCTGTTTTTGTTTCAGTTTAATAAAGCTCCTTTCTGTTCTCCTGACTTCTGCCCCAGAGTCCTTCATTTCTCAAGCCATGACACAGTGCTTTGTATAACCACATCTAACTTCCACATCAGACAGAATCCAAGAGAGCACCTACATTGCTAGGTTTCATTGCACCATTTTCATTGCCAGGTTTCTTTGGTGATTAAGAACATTGAAGAGTGCACTGTCGGGGGGGGGAAAGCAGAGTAGCCAGAGGAAAAGTAGTCACAGGGAGAATGTGAAGCCTACATAAAAATTCAGGCCTCAAGGGGTTTTATTTTGATCATCTAAGACAAAGTGTAAAGTGCAAAGCGCAACTGTCATTTACAGGTATGGCCGTGTCCAAATCCATTTCTGTATTTTGATGGTGACCAGACTTTGTGACTTCATTATTCAGAGACGTATTCCACCTAAGCCTTTCGAGATGAAGTAGGCATGGGATGAGGTAGCAATGAGTGTGTGATCACCAGAATGATGTCAGAATGATGTCAGAAGACAGGGAAAACACAACTTGCTGCTGAACGAGAGCAGTGGCTGGGATCGGGAGCTTACCAACTGAAAAGGACATGAAACAAAAAGGGACCATGAGGACGTGGAAGTTAAAAATTATTCAAAGTTTCCCTATTACCATTACTAATAAGCTGATCTTTGTCCCTTACTGAAAATGTAGTCAGAGTTCCTGAAATTACTGAAGTTGACAGGTAAAATTTCCCCTGGGGAACCCAGACCACCTTATAGGAAAAATACATCCATTGGCTAAAATGATCATACACACCCAGTGAACCTAAAACAGGTGTCTTTTAAAATTGACCCTTTCCCATACCATGTTATGGAATGGGTCACCCGCTGGGCTGTTCATGCTATTCCAACTGGTTAATTTCACTTATGAAATAAAGATAGAGATTCTTGTTCAGGAAGGAAAGACTAAATCTTTGCAACATTCTCATTTTCAAAATACATTTAATGAGTTTAACTTTTCATCAATCACCAAGTGCATCAAATTTTGCTGTAGAACTGGCACGAAAAGCACAGGCTTCAAACATTCCAATCCATAAAGAAACAGGTCAAATGAACAGACCTGCAAAAAAAAATACTACACACAGTAACTGTCACGTTCGGCTTGGAGGCGAGCAGGGAAGCAGGCGAGAGCAGCCAGGAAGTCAGGTAAACGGGTTTATTTGTCACGAAAGGACTGACAGGTACGGACATCGACGGACACTACAATGACAGATCTGGGGAAGACTGACTCAGACGAGGACTAAATACAAAACACAAGCTAGACCTAACAGGACACAGGTGATCACACTCAGGGCTGAACACGAGGTAACAAGGTGGGCGTGGCACACATCAGGAGCGGACGGAGCGGGGCGTGACAGTAACTATCATGCTTTTTAGAGTTTTTCAGTTGGTGTATGATATTCCCTATAACAATTTCTTCGTTCATTGAAACAAAGAGAAACCTGACACTTCTCACAGCTGGTATCTGTCTTGCTTGGCATACAGAGCAGCAACATCATTTCTTCTTCTTGACAGGCCAGTGGGCCACTTGATCATATTGAGCATCAGTGCTTGGAAACGTCCTCACCATTCTTGGCGGCCTTGGAGGGGTAGTACTGTCATCAGTATCTGTGGAAGGCTGACCCCTTTTTTTGGCCGTCCCGACTTCTATCAATTTTTGGGCTACCAATGCTTGTAATCTCCTGAGCTTGTAGACAGCACTGCCAGTGACTTATATTCTGCTATAAGTTAAAACATATCATGGATCACTAACCGGTGGAAGTATTGTTGGTCTGTTGGAAGGATGGGTTGGCCATGAAAGTTCACTTGTGGTGGGTGTGGTCTGGTGCACCACCTGTATTTCTTCTGCACAGTTTTTGTCTGAGGCTGATGTTGAGCAAACGGAACATCATCATCATCACTTGAGTATCACTTGACTAGGGAAGGTGTAGTCCCCATTATCTGAGTCATCTGTCCCAATGTCACTGTCATCACCACATACCTCATCTAAGATCTGTTGTGTGTTATAATGGCATTTATGCACTCCATAATGCACTCATCTAACTTTTACCACTGCCTATAGTCTCCCCTACTTTGACTAATTGCATATTTTTCCCCTACTCCTCCTGGGGGGTGCTGCCTGGAGCCCTCAATCTATCAAGATGTCCAGCACACCCTGCAACATGTAATGTCGCCTCTACCAATGACGTCCGTGCATCCAGCTCGCCGTTCTGCCTGTGTCATCTTCCATGTATGACCCACTGCCTGCATTCTGGTTGCCTGGCGATTGGAGGAAGCGGTGGCACCGGCTTGTCATCTCCCCCCCTGCTCCCCGTTTCTGTCTCAAATTTTACTGTATTTGACTCTCCCTGCCGGCCCCTGGAGGATGGGCTCCCCCTTTGAGTCTGGTCCCTCCCAAGGTTTCTTCCTTCTCGGGAGTTTTTCCTTGCCACTGTCGCCTATGGCTTGCTCACTGGGGGCTTTGGGTGGGGATGCTGTAAAGCGCTTTGAGACGATGTAATGTCGTGATAATGCGCTATACAAAAATAAATTTGTTTGTTGTTTGTTGTATTCATGAAATTAAGTTAAAGGAACTCTGGGTTTTCTCCCTGGTGAATCTGGCCTTGCATTTTCACTCTGGGCTGCCCTGAAAGAATTTCTGTTAATACTATAAATAAAATGCTTCATATTTGTTGAGCACAATAAAATCAATGCCAACTCCTTGAATGTTTGAATTACTCCTTCAATGGCTCACAGTTAAAGTTGTAATGTTTTGCTTGTGTCCTTTTCTAGTTAAAATTGATATTTAATGTTAAAATGAATAAAGAGAATTTGACCATGCAGATTACCTCGATGTACCAAAGCTTTCTCATTGGGACTAATCACACAATCCACACAGCTAATCCATTAAACTTACAATTTAGACACATATAATTTTTAAAGTTTTGATATCTTTTTTTACCACCACTGCACACCGTATGATGTAAAGCATGGAAATCTTCACTAAATTAATAATTTAGGAATTTATGCTGTCCTCAAGAAATCAGAAGCTTCTCTCTGTAGTTAACTTTCTTATTGCAGTACAGACAAGCTGAAGGATTCAAAGACTCAATGGTGGATCTATTCTTTTTAAGTAGTGGACATGACAATGTAATTAAGATGATAATTGGGCAAAAAGACATTGGCAATGTGTTTTGATCATACAATGACAGATAAAGTGAATTGTGGAAGGCAGGGTGACCATATTTTGCTGTGCAAAAAGGCGCACAATAAGGGCAGGATGCAAACAGAGCCATCAAAGTCACAGAAATATGCACACAGAGTATTCTGACTGTAGAAACCAAATGTCAACATTTTTAAGCTATGGCACACATATTTATGCAGGTATGCAGGAAACACTGAAATTAGCCCGGGCCAGACCGCTATGTTTTCAGCTAGGTAGCTATCTGGCCAAGGCTAATTTCAGTGTCATTAGAGTGGCATGAGTGCTGTGTACTATGCATTTCAAATTTGCCTTACCCAAGATGAATAAGACCTCCGCTTTCCATTTGGAAATATGGCTTCTTATTCAGATAAGTGTGAACAATTGATCAAAGTGTTATGCGACCAGTTAACTGTTTTTTGAGGTAAGGTAACTAAACCTGTACACAGTATTCAAGGTGAGGTCTGACAAGGGAATTATATAATCTTGGCATTACCTCCATTGATTTAAACTCGCATCCTGTTTTTAACTTCTCCACATTGGTAAGAGTTAGACATAGAATAGTCAATATCTTTCTCGTAATCAGCTTCCTTAATTTCAGTTAAACCCGTAAAATATCTGTACTTCAAATTTATATTTGATTAACATTGCCAGCAGTCAGTCTCATTCCCGGTGAATATTGGACTCTGTCATGGCTGCCCTTCGTTACACATTCTGTTCATAACCTTTATCAAAAGAATTTTAGAAAAGAATGGAGCAGGAGATCGACAGGCGGATCGGTGAAGCATCAGTAGTTAAATGGGTGTCGTACTGCTCTTTCATGGTGAAAAGAGAGCTGAGCCGGAAGACCAAGCTATTGATTTACCAGTCAATCTACCCTCACTTATGGTCTTGAGCTTTGGGCAGTGACCGAAAGAATGAGATTGCAGATCCAAGTAGCTGAAAAGAGCTACATTTGCAGAGTGTTAGAGCTTTAGAGATAGAGTGAGGAGCTTGGACATTGAGGAGGGGCTCAAAGTAGAGCCACTGCTTCTCCACATTGAAAGGAACCAGCTAAGGTGGTTTGGGTATCAGTCTAGAATTCCTTATGGATGCTTCCCTGATGTCCAAACACCCAGGACTCATACGAGAGATTATATCTCTTGGCTGGCATGGGAACATCTTGGCATCCCCAGGAGATGCTGGAGGAGGTGGCTATGGAGAGGGAAGTCTGGGCATCCCTGCTTAGACTGCTGTCCTCACCACCTGGACCTGGATGAGTAGAAGAAGATGGATGGATGGATGGATGGATGGATTGACACTTTAGCCTAGTAGTATTAAAAAACTGTAAACTAAAGTATTTGCATTTGTTTTTATTAAATTTCAGTAATCTTTGGAAGCAATATTTATAGTTTTGTTTTAGTTTTAATATTTAATAATATTTTTCCATCTCATTTCAGTTTACAAATTTTTTTTTGTTTTCGTTAACGATAATCTGATTTCAGCAATCTGCAAGACATGAATAAACGTGAAAGCTATTTTGACTCTCAGGACATTTACGGACGTCAGGTCTACAAAACAGGCAACCAGGTCTGGGTGTGTGATCTGTTTAAACAGAAGACCAATTCATCATTTAAGAGCTCATCACCTAACTTCACCCCACCCTGGAATGCCCAGATTCTGCCGTGGTACACACCTGCTGTCTTTCTGTGTTGTCTTTCTGTTAAAGTTACGTACATGGGGGAGGCTTATGGACGTCATTCCATGACAACTGTCACAGAAACACAGATAATCTTTTTAACAATTTGTTCCTCAGTGGAAGGAGGAAGTTTACATACTATGTTTCAAAAATAGTTTACTTGTAAAAAAGGAGATTTTGATGTTAACAAGCATGTATTTAAATCTGCCATTGCAAATTTTTCATTACTAAGCTATTCATTTTTCTTTTAATGAACTAATCAAAATATAACTGAATTTATATCCACATGAATGGATATTTAAATTAGCAGTACTCAACTGAATGTGCTAGGAGTTATTCCCACCACAAAACTTAAAACTCAGTCTATAGTCTGTATTAAGATGCATTTCTCCATGTGTTGGGGGTGAAGGAGCAAAACTGAATGGAGAAGCAAGGAGAAGGTTAGACAATAATCCATTCCATAGTCCCTCAATCCATTTCATGCTTCACACAACACTGTGCATAATCCAAACACGAAGACCAGTTTGCATACAACCACTGGATCATTTAGCAAGAGATAAACCCCAGTTGCTTCAGGGATGTTGCCTGACCTGGCTCTTCGGCACCAAGCTTTCTGAACTCTTATGTCCAAAATCACATGCTAAATAATAGTTTTTCCCCCCCAGGGTACATACCCTATAAAACAGAAGGCTGAGGTAGCAGGAATGGCACTATGTTTTTCAAGTTGGTGAAATGATGAAAAAGGTAAACTTTACACAACTGAGTTTTACATCATAACACTTCTGCCCACTGAACAAAGGCACGTGCAAAATACGTATTTTCAACATCTTGTCTAACATTGAAAAAATGTCCCCTAAGAAATCAGAATGAAAGTTTTTTTGACGTCTCCTGAACGTCCAATATGGGGACCTGCACCTGTCTTGCATGTCCAGAGATGTCCAAAAAATCTCCTAGGCAGATGTCCAAGTATTTAACTAGATATCTACAATGTCCAAGAGTGGTTGTAGTCAGATGTGCAAATACTGAATCTGATTTTCATGTCATACAGACATACAGTTTTGGCCCTGGACCTACTGATGCAATATAGACATAATCTCATGTTTGCTGGGTGGGACCTTTCTCTTCGGCATGCTCAGAAAAGAGTAGCTAGTGTCAAATGTATGGTCAACCATGAGATTGATGGTATTTCTCTGTGAAAAGCAGGTACAGAAAATGGATGAATGATGGACTATGGGGTGTACCCCTTCACACACCATAGTGTCCAATGTCTTTCAATAGCACCAAATGACTCTAATGCTTAAAGAACATGACCGTGCAGTCAGGAAGCTCCTTAGTCATTGCTGTCATTAGGTTGGAGTGGTGCACATGTAAACAGGGATAGTCAACAATTAATTTGTTTTAGATATGTGTGACTAATCAAAAACATAGTTCTCGTGCTTTTGTTGTACTATGAAAGACACATCACCTCTGATTTAATGTCAGCAAGGCATCATGTCACCCCCAGATAATCCCCAATAACAAGAACATTTTGATATGTGTGATGTCTTTGGCATGCACGCGGACGCTGTGTACGTGACATAAGTGATGTTGGGCTTAGGTCCCTCATTATTAATCATTTTGACATATGACAGATATCTGTCGCATATTGAGTTCCTGAGAAAAAAACTAACTTTTCATATCACACCGTTTAAGCTGTACAGGATCCACGAGCTTTAAACATTTCGCAAATTATTTGAAGAGTTCTGTTTGAGTAAATGCATATCTCCTTAGTACTAGCTAGAATTGGCACGCAGAAAAAAAAAATATATTGCAGACAGGAAACGGGAGCCCAATGAACACAATTTAGCCCAGGGGTCAGCAACTCCGGTCCAGGAGAGCTACCGTCCAGCAGGTTTTCTATCATACCCAGCTTCTGATGAGCCACACTAGTTCTCAGGTAAATACCAGGAGCAGGTGTGGCTCATCAGAAGCCAGGTAGGATAGAAAACTTACTGGATAGTAGCCCTCCTGGACCGGAGTTGGTGACCCCTGATTTAGACTTACAGTCCTCTTCGTTCGTATGTCTGAAAGTTCATAAGTAGAAGAGCGTCTGTATTCTTAAAGATTTTTGTTTATAAATTTATGCTGTCTTCAATAAGTCAGCGGCTTTTTGACCATTTGCAAGTCTTTGACTCTCTGCAGTTAATTGTCTCTTTGCAGTCATTGTGGGGGAGATGGTGTGTTGCTCAGTGTCTGTGGGCAGAAGGTCCACAGTTTATATCCCCAAATCGGATGGGTGATTTTACCTTTGTAAAAGCATCTGCTAAATGTGATATAATGTAGTCTAGACAGAAACTTCCAGATGTTAAGAGTTGTGCATAACAATCTGTGTCATTAAAGTGCTGGCAGTGTATCACTTACTATTTTACTATTTAAAATTTTGTTTGAATTTTCTTCATTTATCTTTTTTGCATTGTTACTCAGAAGGAAAGTATGTTCCTTGAAGGGCCTGAGAACCCGGGAAAAAAAAATTCTTAAAATCAATTGACTTCTCAGTTACTCATTGCACTTTAATTACTGAATGACTTAAGAAGGCTTTGGTATTATCTGGCATATGCAACACAGCCTGTTGTTTCTGTGGTAGCATTTGTACTTTGTTCTAAATGAGCAGTATATGTGTAGCAGTATATCAGTTTCTCTAAAAGGCAGACCAGTCTCGCCGAACGTGGTTCCACTAGAGGGCAGCAAGGATTCAGTTATGTTATCAAATAATTTTCACACAAGTGCTTCATATACAGGCATCCTGTTCAAGGCTGTACCCCAACTTCGTACACTGTGTTGCCTGTAATAGGTTCCAGGTACCCCTGTAACCCTAAGCGAGATAAGATGTTGTTGGATGGATGGATGGATGGATGGATGGTTAATCACATGGATGGAATTTCTTCATGCTCCATTAAAGTAGCATGTACACTACAGACAGCAAAATAAGATCTGATGTGTTGTATCAAGAATGACGTAAAATATCGTTCCCAGGCTGATTCACTGGTGCACCTGGAGTTGCCAGTTACGTATTCATGTGCTTTACCTGAGACTCATACTTAAAGGTCTAGCGAAAATGTGTAGCATTATAAGATTCCACATAAACTTTGCTGATGGAGATTTTGACTCGTCACTCAGTTTTTTCAGTCCTCTGATGTCAGGCATGTTTGAGACATCTGAGTGACATGGCGATGAGGTGCTATGCAATTGGCCTTTAGTTACCCATCAATGTTTACCATTCCTTGGCATTATCACTGGATGTTGCCTTCCCTGGAGTTAATAGTTGAAACCAAATCTTGGTCTGGACTTTTACTCTCTGGACCTGAATTACCACCTCTGGATACCAGCCTGTGGAAAAATAGACCCCCCCTCCCAAATGCCAAGAGTAAAAATATTTCCATATTCCTGTACTATTGACAAAGAGTAGTATTCTAATGTGAATATTCATCCATCTTCAGTAAAAAGAGTAAACCCCAGGGTGGACTCATTTGACCCCACCCCCGATCCCTTTCTGGGGGCCATAAATAATTAGCCTGCTCCAGTTGTCACTTCAGCTGGTCAGCACAGCAGACCTGTCCCGGTCCTTTGGCTGTCATTGTAAGTGTTTTCACAGTGTCCCCAAAGGGAGGAGCACCATTCCCAGTTTGCGCAAAGAAGATCGTTTTTCCGATTCGGCCGGTCTCGCTGGATTTCTCCCGGAGAATTCCACATCTCAGCATAAACATCCAGGGATAAATTTACCCTAAATAGTGAAAAAGTGAGGGAATCAAACAAGGTGGTCACAGATGGGGAAGGAAAGCACTTCAGTCACACTGGCTTTTTTTCCACAATCCTCCCTCTTCTCGACAGGTTATAAAAACAGCCCTTGCTTAGTGGAAACCAGCGTATTCAGATCAGACCAGAGACCAGAGCGGTAGAAGCAACACAAGGGAAGAGGCATCACTGGCAGCCCAGCAGCAGGAATCAGGCAGCGGGAGGAAGTAGAGCCCGGACCACAGATGACGGCATCAGCGGCCGACATGCAGGCTTTGTACAAGCAGCAGGGCTACCTGACAGCGGTGCCAGTGCTGAGTGACAGGGAGCTACAGGCAGCCAGGGCGGCCTTCGCTGAGCTCGAGAGGGAGTTCGGTGAGTATCTTCACTGCAGGGCCTGGGGGTGTTTGGAGCTCATCTGAAACTCTCACCCCATCACAGCTTGCCTATTAATCATGATTTGCACGTTTAAAAATTATTGAAATTGTCAAATTATCTTTAAACGAATATTTGAGTGTAAAGACATCATGTAGATCAACACTATATCCTTGTAACATACTTTCAAGGCTGGCTTTAGGTATTGACTCAATAGGCCCATGAATGAGGCACATAGGCAGGTACTAAAATTACTGGTTTGTACCACCCCCCCATGTGGCAAAGTCTAAAAAAAATGTGACTCTCTGCCCCGGCCTCAGCAGTTGGCAAAATGGATTATTGAGGTGGACCTGTGTCGGACATTTATTTCTGGCTAAGGGCTTGCCCTGCATTGCAGAGGAAATGAAATGATCATCAATTATCTTGGTAAGGGGGCTCCCAAGTAAAGCCCCCTGCTAAGGTAGCAGCTCTGTGTGCTCTGATTCCCTGATGACATAGAGCAGATGTGTCAAACTCCAGTCCTGGGGGGCCGGAGCCCTGTGTAGCTTAGTTCTTTCCCTGTCCCACCACAAATGATTCAGTTCAAGAGCTGTGCTGTAATTAGCACAAGGAGTTGAATCAGGTGTGTTAAATGAAGGTAAACCAAAAACTGTGCAGGGTTCCGGCCCCCCAGGACTGGAGTTTGACACCCCTGATGTAGAGGATATTTCTAAACATCTATATTCTGCCAATAATATGTATGTCTATCTGTCTGTCTGCTTATAGGTCAGGAATATACCCAGTACAGCTTACACAATGTCCACCAGCAATACGACTGGGTGATGGCACTGGTCAAGCACCCCAGAGTCCTGGAGGTCGTGAAAACCATCTTGGGGCCCGACATCTTGCTTCTTGATTCCCGCTTCATCTGTAAATATCCCACTGGGCACAATAGCACCTCCAGTGGACAGGGTGCGAATGACATCACAAGTAACATAATGGGTGGCAGCATCAGTAAAAATATGCCTAGATTGCCCTTTGTAGCCTGGCATCAGGACATGAGGTCAGTTTAATACATTTTAATCTGACTCTAAAAGCATATGATGCCATCAACTGGGTGAGTCATCTTCATAAAAGCACTTCAGAATCACCAGTTTGTTGCAGGTACTGGGGTTTGGAAGGAGGCCCGGTTCTGTCTGTGTGGCTGGCACTTGATGACTCCTTAAAAGACAATGGAGCCCTGCAGGTCATCCCAGGTATCTGGTTTATAAACACTTCTTAGTTATTTGGTCTAAAGCAGTGATTCCCAATCCGGTCCTTTGGAACCCATAACTGGTCCACGTTTTTGCTCCCTCTGATAGTCCACATTTTTTGCTCCCTGCCAGAAAGTCCACATTTTTGCTCCATTAGGGAGCTGGCAGGGAGCAAAAACGTGGACTGTCTGTGAGTCCCTGAGGACCGGATTGGGAAACACTGTTGTAAAGTGATTTTCATGCACTAGAACCACCCATTTTGTAACCACGTATCCAACAGAGATTCACAGGGAGCCTATCACAGACTGCATAGGGTCGTGGGCAGGGTAGAGCACACACACTCACTGCTATGAACAACTGTGAGGTAACAGTTCACCAAACTGCATGCAAACTGTAGTAACGAAACATTCAAACCAGAATGTCACATGCAAAGTAGAACGTGAACATCCTATGTCTTTTGTTTGAAGTCCAACTTTGAGTAATATATTTTGTGTGCTCTCTGCATTTATTTGATGTTGTTTTCTAAAAATATTGATTTTATGTCTATCATTTGCCCTCTTTATTGCTCAGAGTTTATTGTGATTAAAAGTTCCTTTCAAAAGAAACCCCTAATATTCACAGTTTCTTTTTCAAAATAGGCAGTCACTGCTCAGGTCTCCTCCTGCACCAAACAGCAGCTCATGCTGGAAATATGCTGTCTGTCAATCAGGAGATTCCAGGGGACCTTGTGCAAACTGCCAGTGCCATAATTTGCCCCCTATTGGCAGGGCAAATATCAGTAAGTCATGTGGTCACCGCTTGTAAAATTGTTAAATACTATAATGTTTGTAATATTTGGTACCATTTTTTAATTTCCTGTATTTGCATGCTGTTTGTAGTGTGTTGCAAGTGGCCCCAGTGGCAAATGTTACAATCTTTTATCATTGACGGCTGCTTCATGCCCTTAGGTGCACGACGGACTACTGGTACATGGCAGTGAACCCAACATGTCAGATCTCAGGCGCTGCGGCTTTGTAATGCGCTTTGTGCCCACGTGTGTGTATCCCATCGAGGTGAGAATCCACGCAGGATGTGTTCAGAGAATCTCAGTGGTCAGAGTAGCATCTTTACCTAGATGAAGATATCTAACCCTAATCCTAACCCTAATCCTAACCCTAACCTCATCTAACAGTGCTGGTGTTTATTTTGTGGTTTATTTACAGGATCCAGATCGTCCCAGGCGTTTCATTGCAACAGTCCTGGTGTGCGGTGATGACAAGTTCAAGCACTTCTCCAACACTGACGCTGAATCTATTTAAGGGGGGTGTGGGGGAGGGGATGCATTCTCTTGGCTTCATACCAAGAGCCATGTATGATACCATCATGATGCTAAATGGCTACAGATTTGTAACAATGTCCAGGAAATTTAGAGAGTTCACCCAACTGCTGTCCTTGGTCTATGGAAGGAAAGCAATGTATCCAGAGCAAAATCACAAGTCACACAAACAGGGGTAGGCCGAAGATTTGCTGTCTCAACCCCAGGTGCATAAAATGTCAATATTCCCGTTTTTACCACGGGGCACAAAATATGTAGACTGAAATTCATTTTATACATTGGTTGAAAAATTATATTTAAAAGTGCAATTATGTCAACAGAGGAATATAAGGAAAAGTACAAAGAAGGAGTGGAATTTTCTGGAACTCAAAACTTCTATAATTCTATATTTAGCTGCACTCCAAAATACATCAAATCACATCTCTGCTTGGCTCTTATGTCCAGTGGCTCTCAGGAGCCTCTCTGCTCTAAATGTTTCATTCTGCTCTCCATTCAAGTTTGCTACAAAATACGCTCATCTTAAATACACTCACTACCTATTACCTTGGGCAACGTCCCATTGTACTTGGTGCTAAATGTTTACACGGGACATACAATGACTGTGATTTCCCAAGCCTGCTTGATCCACTGCATGTATCACTATTTGTTTTTACCTCTTTGATTGCTGCAAACACAAGCTGATTTCAGACATTCTTTCAAAAACCCTCCATCTGTTTTTTTTATTATTTATTTATCTGACAGCCTGTAAATGCAGCCTGTGTCCTTTGAATGGTGTGACCTTCAATAGTAGCTGTTTCCATTGGTATAGTCATGTGAATATAATTAACTCTAATCAGAAAGGTTTCAAAGGCCTGTGCTCTTTATTGCTTTGTCAGTACACATAGAGTATTAGTGGAGTATTAAGTAAGCTCCAAAGATATTGTGAAATAGCTATCCCTCCTGTGGGATTTGAGTATCTGAATTTTATTCTCGCTTACTGTTTTCATTGTTGTTTTAATTGTTAAACTTTTAACACTATTTAGTGCTTCTGTTCATTGTATTTTCATTCATATCTTTCTATTATTTGTTAATCCCAAGGCCTTGACATACTCCTAAATTACACATGGATTTTTTAATTAATAATGGCATCTCAGCACTGGAACTGTTAATAAATGTAATTCTGAACATTATAGGGACCTCATTTTTATGAAGCACATTAAAATGAATGGTTTTTCAAACAAGTTTATTTAACAGCATTGCAATAAACACAATAAAGAAAATCACACAAACATCAGGAACCTATAAAAAATATTCTAGTTTTTTTTCTCAGAAACTATTTTGTTTAAAAACCACATTTTATCTATCTTTGACCATTTACAGCATTAACACTAGCTTTACTGACAAAAAATAATCCTGGAGACAAATTAGCATTTTGAGCCAGTCCATTGTCCTCCTGTAATTGCTGTGTAAACGCACCAATTACCCGTTCACACTCTCCAAGGTAAGGTATTTGCAGTTGTTCACACCATTCACCTACAGCCCGGAACTCTCTAACTCACAGAGAAACATTCACAGCAGTGACTTGATTG